TTTTCACAACAATTCTAATCTGTTCCCCCAAACCCCATACTGTATTCCTCCTCCTTTTTACAATTCATTTTGTACCAAATTCTTCTGGTAACACTTTGATGAAAATCTGTCTTCACCGATTAACACCTCCAAAACAGATACACTGAACAAGCGGTTAGATAAAGAATTTTTTTAAGATTCCATAAAAAAGCGCAAAAAAAAATAATTAGGGAAAGAAATTGCAACTTTTCACATTGCCTTTACAAAACAAATCCGCCTTCAATATCATATTTGAGCCCTTTTTTTTTTGACACCTATAATTATGTGACACTGTTTATTATGCAAATAAGAAACTTTTTAACTTCTAACTAACAATCTCTATCCAACTTATCATTTATCATACTGAATTTTCCATTAGTCACACAACTCTACAGTTAAATCTGAATAATTTGTAAAACTGCAAAAAGAGACACAAAAATTGCCGATTGAAACTATAGCACAGAAAAATGTTAACTAAACAGATTATTCAGCAACAAACGACAGGCAGCTGTTCCCACATTTTTTTTTTTGATCTTTTACGTGAAAAATACAAATGAATATTGGCGAGACCCAACGCACTTCAAACTATTACTTAAACTAAACTGCTGAATATTGAATAAACATGAAAGAAACTTTGTGAAAATTAATCTGACCTACAACCAGCTTCCAAATAAAACCATCCAAAACTCAGACGGCAACATTGCTTTCCACAATGAAGATTATATACAATACAATACGTTTTGGCAGCTCTAACGTGTTCCTACAGTTTAACAAAAGAAAAAAAAAAAGATCGGAACTTATGCCAAAATAGTGATTTCTTTCTAAAAAAAAAAAATCTTTTTAATTTGACATTGATTGCTACAAAAGTAAACCAAAAAATAGTCAATTTATAAGTGTTAGATTTTGTTCAAAAATTTTAATGCAGCCGTGAACTTAATAGACCTCGGATTCAAATAATATAAAATCTGAGCTGTAAACTGTTTCCGAATCGTATCAGTTCAAGTTATTAAAAATCAGACTCATGAAACAGTCTTTTAATGCTTCGCACAAACTACAACCCCGACTCAGTAACGTCCTAAACATCGTTTTAGTAAAATGATCAAAACAGTTTAAACCAACTTAAACTCCAAAAAAAAAGCTAGATTCTTCTCAAGTACAACTAAAAGTGATCTAAAATTATAAAAAACTCCACAAAAAAAAAATTTAATAAAATTTTTAAAAAACCAAAAATAAACTACATTCAAAAAGATATCAAACAAAGATATCAATCACTAATAGCTAACAATAACCATGATACTAATCAAAAAGTTTGAAAAAAAAAAAAA